TATATATATATATATATATATATATATATATGAAAATTTATATTTTATCAATTTCTCAGTGAATATAGGCAGTGTATTTTGGTGCATTTAAGCAAAACACATTTATTAATCGAATATATTAAATAAAAAAATATTTTAGTCACCAAACAGATTTAGAAATGCAAAGATAATACAATTAAATTCATGTGTAATATTGGGGTGGAAATTACAAACTACAAAATTAACAAACTTTAATAAATTTTCACTTGAAATTTTGCTCTTTGCAAATTTGTATTTAATATTTTTCTATAACATATAAATGTGGCTGTACTCGTTTTTGGACCGTCATCGTAGGTTATTTGATTAGATGAGCTCCAGATTTAGCTTCAGTACTAACTAATCCAATGTATATGCACAAATATAATATTGTAGAGCTTCCTATACAAAATCTTCTATTAACTGAGAGACTTGTGAGGGGTGAACTCCTATATGCTGATCACTGTATACACTGTAATAATGATCAAACTTAAATATTCAGTATGCCAAGTCTTGTTAGCAATAAATGTGCATCTATTGTGCATTTAGGGTGTATAAACCTTTATAACACATTGCATTCATCAAATACACTCATTCGCTGTCATACATCATGCAAAGGTGTAAACACATATCTGCTGGAGACAGACGCACACACACACGCACATAAAAGGCGGACGGACAACTTTCCATTGTAAGTGGAAAAGATTCATTTCTACGGCGTACGTCACTTGAAATCAAAATGTCAAATTTCTCATCTCCGTACGACCACTATATCATCTGAACACAACACCTCACGTAAGCTCATGCACACACGCACACAAAGAGAGAGAGAGAGAGAGAGAGAGAGAGAGAGAGTCATGTTGTGAGCTTTGTTTCCTGTTGCAGGATGTGCCGTCTCTGAGCTTTATTTACCCAACAGGAGTGTGTATGTGGTTTGTGTGTGTGTGTGTGTGTGTGTTTGGGCAGATAAGGCCGGTACCTCTGAGTCAGCCATTTTTCCTCTTAAAGCATATAGCATAACACAGACGTGCTGACAGGAAGACGAGCTTTAAATAATGGGGTTGACTGGAAAACGTCTCCAACAAATGTTAAAGCAACTGAAAAAACAGCTGGATCATGTAGAGCGTGTGATCACACAGATGACAGTGACACATACCTGTCCTCTCGGTTACGATCCACTGCGTAAAACTGCTTTCTTAGCCACCTGAGGTCAAGAGAAGAAGAGAAGCAACCGTGGGATTAAAACGAGCGAGGGTTTGTTGATCCGGGCTTTATTTTAAACTGAGCTGTGCTGCCCCACTTACTTATATCACTGAGATGTCTGAACTGTCTAAGCTAATCGAGTGTATTAAAGATGATGAAGACTGGATGACCAACAATTTCCTTCTCTTAAACTCCGACAAAACAGAATTATTACTTATTGGGTCTAAATCCTGTACACAGCAGATCTCGCAACTCAATCTACAATTAGTGCGATACAAAGTTAGCGTTAGCGCTACTATAAAAGATCTGGGAGTCATATTAGACAGCAATTTCACTTTTGAAAATCATATCTCCCATGTCACAAAAACTGCCTTCTTTTACCTGAGAAATATCGCTAATTACGAAGTATGCTATCCATCTCAGATGCAGAAAAGCTAGTCCATGCTTTTATGAGCTCTAGGCTGGATTACTGTAATGCTCTGTTTGCTGGCTACCCAGCATCCTCTATTAGTAAACTTCAGCTAGAAAAAATGCAGCTGCCAGACTTCTTACCAGGTCTAGAAAATATGATCATATCACCCCAAACTTATCCTCCTTACACTGGCAGCCTGTTACATTTCGTGTTGAATTTAAAATATTACTTCTTACCTATAAAGCTTTAAATAATCTAGCTCCTGTTTATCTAACCAATCTTCTGTCTCGCTACAATCCAACTCGCTCTTTAAGATCTCAAAACTCAAGGCTTCTGGTAGTACCTAGAATAGCAAAGTCTACTAAAGGAGGTCGATTGTTCTCATATATGGCTCCTAAACTATGAATTTGCCTTCCTGATAATGTCCGAGGCTCAGACACACTCTCGCAGTTCAACACTAGATTAAAGACCTATCTGTTCAGCAAAGCATACCCTCAGTGCATCACTTAGCTGTATGATGCATGAATGTGCTTCACGCAGGTTTCAGCATCTCGTTTATAAACACTATGAACAGCAGCTACGCTAATTATTCTCTTTATTCTCTATTTCCACCTGGAGATACTCATCCCGAGGCCCTCACACTATGCAGCACGGCTGATTTGATCAAAGACCAGTGACGAGATGATCCCAAGGTTTCCATAATCCTGGACCAGGCAGTATCCTGAGCAGCTGCTGTGGTGATCATGGAGGACTGGAGAGCATGAGGCTGATTCCTGTGACGCCCCAGGGGATAGACGAGACTTGCTGATGTCCAACTTCTTCAGCGCCTAGACTGCGGCTCTGCACAAGACGTTTGGCCAGAGGAGAAATGGTCGTGCCCAACTGAGCCTGGTTTCTCTATAGGTTTTTTAATTCTTCACTTTCGCCAATTGGTGAAGTTTTTTTCCTCAGCGCTGTCATCTCTGGCTTGCATGGTTAGGGTCTTGTGGAGCTGCGCATCGATGGATTTGCTCTTCAGTGTTTGGACTCTCAGTAGTGATTATTAACCACACTGAACTGAGCTAAACTGAACTTAAACACTGAAAACTGAACTGCACTGTTTCAGTTTACTATGATCTTCTATATAAAGCTGCTTTGACACATTCTACATTGTAAAAGCGCTATAGAAATAAAGGTGAATTGAATTGTAAACACTGATTCACCAATCTGTGATTAAAACATTAGACTGAGATTAATTCTGACTCTACACTGCAATAATTACTCTGCTGAAATTTATTCCTAAGGTCAAAAATCTTGGTTCTGGAGCAGTGGTGGATCTAGGATTTTGTTAAGGCAGGGGCCAAGGGGTCAAGTTATTCAATTGGTGCGTGCACTTTATGTTTAGAACATAGAACTCTTTTTTTTGTCCTATTAAAAACACAGTATACAGGGCTCGTCATGACCCATGGTGAAGGTAGAGGTTAAAATCTGCATTGGTCAATATATGTGTGGTGCAGTGCAAACAGGGGTCGGAGGTCACCTTTCAATCTGCAGCGGTGTGGAGGAGCTCAGCGTATCGGACATCAGCCACGTCAGACCCTTCACCCACATCACCATCTCCTCGTCTGAGGTCGCTGCGCACACACAGACACACAACCAGCATGAGCAGATGGATGATAATAAATGGTTTGGCTGAGAGACCCAAGCTTTCATTAATCCGTTCACATTTTCATTAATTCATTCAATAGTCATTCACATATTCATTCATTCATTCATTCATGTTTTTATTCAACCATATATTCAGATTTCATTATTTTGTTCACATTTTCATTCATTCATTCATTCATTCATTCATTCATTCATTCATTCATTCCCATTTCATTAATTCATTCACATTTTCATTTACCACTTCATATTTTTAATAATTTTATTCATTCACATTTACATTCATTATTCACACACATTTTCATGCATCTATTCATTAGCATTTCATTCATTCACTTTTCATTCATTCATTCATTCAGATTGTCATTCATTCATTTGCTCACATTTTTATTCAACCTATTTTTTTTTCATTCATTCATTCGTTTTGTTTATTTTTTTCATTTATTCATTCATTCATACACATTTGCATTCATTCATTTGCTCACATCCACTTATTTTTTTCATTCATTTATTCACTCACATTCATTCATCCATTCATTCCCATTTCATTATTTTTTTTTCATTTATTCATACACATTTTTCTTTAAGCATTCATTCGTATTTCATTTAATTTGTTCACACTGCCATTCAATCATTCATTTGCTCACATATTTATTCAACCATTCATTTGTATTTCATTAATTAATTCATTTCCATTCATTTGTTTACATTTTCATTCATTTCTTAGATTTTTTTATTTCATTCATTCATTCAACCATTCCGTCATATTGTTAATTTTTCATTCATTCATTAGCATTTTCATTCATTCATTCATCCATCCATTTATATTTCATTCATTTTTTACATTCATTTATTCACATTTTCATTCAACTATTCATTCGTATTTTATTTAATTTGTTCACATTGTCATTCATTCATTCGCTCACATCTTTTATTCAACCATTCATTTGTATTTTACTAATTAATTCATTTCCATTCATTCACATTTTCATATAACCATTCATTCATTCATTTCATAAATGTTTTTATTAATTCGTTCACATTTTCATTCAACAATTCATTTATATTTTGTTATTTTTTTTCATTCATTCATTCACATTTTCATTCATTCGCTCACATCTTCATTCTACCATTTATTAATTTTTCATTATTTTTCTTATTCATTCACCTTTTTATTCAACCATTCATTCATATTAAAAGGGGAGGATCTACCTTACGTCCCACCCTGTCTCCATCAATGTTTCCCAACCCTCTTCCTGAAGGCACACCAACAGTACATATTTTGGATGTCTCCTTTATCCGACCCTTTCATTTCAGGTTTGATGCCTCTTCTAATGTTCTGTTGAGTTGATTCAGGTGTGTTTGAATAGGGAGAGGTTGAAAACGTGTAGTGTTGGTGTGCCGTCAGGAACAGGGTTGGGAAACACTGGTCTTCATGTTTCACTTGAAATTACATCAAACATCACAGTTCATGCGACGTTTAAAGCACACGTGTGTGTCGCTCATATGATACTGATTTACCTGCCAGACTGAGGGATTTGAGGCGAAACTCAGTGCCGTAGAGGATGACGAAGCAGTGGGCCTGGTCCGGCCGGGTCGTGACGTCCTCCACATATCGCTCAAAGTCCCGAGACTTCTGTCCAGTCCGGATCTCCTTAATCTCCCGGATATCAACTGAAAGAGACACAGGACACACACTTGAGCTTTTCTGTGGTCTTTACACGCGAGAAAGGTTTTAATCAGAACAGGAAAGAAAGAACATTATGATCTTTATTAGAGCTGTGAACCTACACTAGTCTCACGGTTTGGTTCGGTTACGATTATCATGCCATCGATTTGGTTCAATTCGATATTTCGGTGCATCACGGTTAGGGTTGTAACAATATACCGGTATGACGGTCTACCACGATTTGAACGTGCACGATTATCATACCATGAACAATTGCATATCAACGGTTTTAACCCTTAAAGACCGAGACAGCCGCCCGCGGCTAAAAATAAGTATTGCTCTTAAATGTTTAATAACTTTTGATCCGCTGATCCGATTCATACAATTCAAATATTGGCATAAAGAAGAGAATCTCAGCTTTCCAGTGCTGTATCACATAACATTCGCGGACTTTCAGAGGCTCCGGAATCAGTGCGGTTACGTCATTAACATTTGACAACGCTGATTTGACAAAGAAACGCTCGTCACTGTGTCTCCGGACAAATCAGACATGATACATTGATGCATTGTCCGTCCTCCATGCCCAGATTGGTTCAAACTCGCAATATCACAACCAATAAGCATAGGTTTCGCTTTTGTTTGTGGACCAAGCTTTTTGAACAACACAGAATGAGAGATGGGCATACATTTATGCGCGGCTAAATACGCAAAAAAAAAAAAAGTTTTGCATGAAATAATTCTCATACTAAGTACTTTTGCATGCACAGCAGCACAGAAACATGACAAAACAGTGACACAGCAAAGACGAACTGCTGCTCTTGCTGTTTTCAAAAGACGCAAATGAAGATGCAGCTGTTTGTCTGCATTGCATACAACCATATCCAAATCCATATCCACAGACAACCATATCCATGCTGGCACATAAAACCTAAGGATGTTCCATATTGAATCTAGTTTCGTTATGTAACTATTTATAGTTTAGTAAACATTTATATCTATTTTTTACTGAGGATTTGCACCATGTTTATTTGGACTTTATTTGGACTTTGACACATTATTTATTATTTTCTTATTTTTTTTATTTGTTCATTGTAAGTGGTGTTGTTTATAGTAACTGAAAATATATTATTTGGAAAAAGTCAAATTTGCTTCACTGTTCTATTATTTTGTAACATTTGTAACATACCGTATACCGTGAAACCGTCAAACCGTGGTATTGTTTTAGACGATTATCATACCGTGAAAAATTCATTCCGTTACAACCCTAATCACGGTGCATTGACGATGCTTTTATATTTTCTTCACAGCAGCAGCTCTTGTATTAAAATGTATGAATATATTTATATTTATATAGGTTATTATTTGTAATACAATTGTGTCATTTAATACAAACAGTCAGATATATTAACTGTAACTTTTAAAAAAACGAGCGTTTAGCAAATAATATAAACACATAAATATCCAGCTCAATTTCTGATCCTTGTCTAGTTCTCTTACATCCCTTTGATTGGGATTGATTAGGTTGCGATTGGCTCTTGCGCGCTGCGCTCTTCAGATGAATGATAAGCTGCAGGCGGCAGCAGCGATCTCACAGCTGATCTATGATAGACACGGTGGAGAAAACTCTGCAGACACACGCTCGTTTCTGTATCCAAAAGTAACGCTGTAAAACAGCCGAGAGGAGAAGAAAAGTCACGCCAGCAGGTCAAATGGGCCACTGTGTGTGTGTGTGTGTGTGTGAGAGAGAAAGAGAGAGAGACAGAGCGAGAGAAAGAGAGAAATGGAGTAGGCTACTTTCATTCTCTCGATCTCAGTGAAATAGGGGCTATTGTTGTATATGTCAGTGAAAGACTGATCCAGCAAACACACACAGAGAAATTGTGCACAGTTCATGAGTATTAAGTAGTTAGAGTGTTGTAAATACTCGCGATCGCCTCCCTCGCGACAGAGCGCATATGAGGTAAATGACGTCAGTAATAACCGGTTATGATTATTACTGAACTAATACCGAATTGTCCGTGTCTGCATCGCGGTGCATTAAAGAAACTATTAATTTTGACACCCCTAATCTTTATCCATCTATGTCTACCTAGACGTGTGAATCTTTCAAGGAGGTGATTTAATTGATTAGAAGCAGAGTTAATACAGTTAACTTCAACCAGATTCTGGATAAGCATATTTGACTGGTACTCAGACCTGTTCTACCAGACGCTGAACTTGCCATCTTTGGCTTCTCACAAAACACATCTTCTCTCCCTCAAACGAGAGTCTTTATTGCAAGGCACGGTGGTAAGATTTGGCATCACTGACCCAGCCGAGACTCGAACCAGCGACCCTCTTGCTGTGAGCCGACAGTGCTAACCACTTAGCCATAAGTAAAGATAAATAAATAATATAAACACATATAAACAAACACATACTTACATGCGCACATATACACGAGCGTGTTTTGTGCATAAGCATGCACGTGTGTGTGTGTGTATGTGTACGAGTTTATGTGTGTGTTTGTGTTGTATGTGTTTGTGTGAGAGAATTGTGTATGCATGTGTGTGTGTGTGTTTATTTGAGCATGCATGTTTGTGAATGTGTTGGTAGTGCATGTTTGTATATGTGAGAGAAAGCAAGTGTGTTGAGTGTGTACATAAGTGTGTGTGTGTGTGTGTGTATATATGAGTTTTACTGCATGTTTGTATTTTGCAATTGTTTTGTATATGCGTGTGTGTGTGTTTATTTGAGCATGCATGATTGTGTGTTGGTAGTGTGTGTTTGTGTGAGGAAGCGAGTGCTGTCGCCTCACAGCAAGAAGGTCGCTGGTTCGAGCCTCGGCTGGGTCAGGGTTTCTGTGTGGAGTTTGCATGTTGTCCCTGCGTTCGTGTGGGTTTCCTCCGGGTGCTCCGGTTCCCCCCACAGTCCAAAGACATGCGCTATAGGGGAATTGGGTAGGCTAAATTGTCCGTAATGTATGAGCGTGAATGAGTGTGTGTGGGTGTTTCCCAGAGAGGTGTTGCAGCTGGAAGGGCATCAGATGTGTAAAACATGTGCTGGATAAGTTGGCGGTTCATTCTGCTGTGGCGACCCCTGATTAATAAAGGAACTAAGCCGACAAGAAAATGAATGGATGTTTGTGTACGAGTGTGGATTTGTAGTGTGTGTCTGAGAGCGAGTTAATATATACACTTGTACGTGTGTGTGTGTGTGTTCTCCTGTTCCTCCTCCCTCTGTAACCGCACTCATCCTGTGCACGTCTCTCTGACAGACACACAGGTGTGATTAATAACACACTCAACACTCAATCAAGCTCTTCAGCAACACACAAACACACTCGATGCTGACGAGCGGTAAACCTAAATCATCTCTAATCTGTCTGATAGCCCCTTTAACTCTTGCTTTTGGGTTTTCTAATGTTATGATATTGTAAAGATTGTAAAAAAATTTTTTATTAAAATGTAAAAAAAAAAGAAAAAAAAAAAAAAAAAACCTTAAAAAATTAAACTTGTAAAGCAGCCAAAAATAAGTTTTGTACAACCATACTAAGCATTGCATTTATTCATAATTATAATTAAATAAATAAAATATAACAGAATAAATACATTTTAAAATGCTTAGGCAAACGTTGGTGTCTGGGCCCGCACAGAATCTGCATGCACACACATGTGTGTAAATATATTTCAGTCTTGATAATTCAGTATTACTCAATAATATGCAAACGTTTTAATTATATTCATATTTATACATAATATATTCAGCCTTTTACTACTTTTACTGCATAGTAAATTTACCAAACACATGTTTCTAATTGGATTTGCATTCTAAAACTTAAAAGTTAATTAACTAACTGCTACACTCTCTAAACCATCCCGCATTAATCTGCAGATTCTGTATAAACTTCTGCACAGACAAAAAAAAACAAACAAAGCAAGTGTCCTAGACATGACCCATTTAAATCTGGCCCGAGTCCATCCATACACACAACACACATGGGCTAAACCATTCCATTCACCAGATTACCCACAAACGAGCATTTCACCACATCAAAACACACAAACTCCCTAAACAAGTCAAGCTTTTATACTTTGACCCAATTCTTAAACTCAGGTCCACTTCTTTGGGTTTCAGTTTGTTCAGGAATACCCTACACTGTAAAAGCCATTAGTTCCTTTACTTTAGGAAGTGTGTACACCTGCTGTAAGAGAACTGTTAAGTTGACTCAACTTCATTTCTATAAATTCTGCATGCAGTTCATTTGCTTAACCAGTTTGGGGTTAAAGCAACTCACTTTTTAAAGTAAAGTCAACTAATCACTTTGAACTAATCCACATCAACTATACAGTGTAAGTCAGAATTATTCACCACCTTTAAATAATTTTTTTTTTTTATATTTCCTAAATAGTGTGTATCAGATTCAAGATATTTTCACAGTATGTCTGATAATGTTTTTTTCTTCTGGAGAAAGTCTTAGTTGTTTTATTTCGGCTAGAATAAAAGAACTAATACATTTTTTTCTGCTGTTATTTTGGGATTTCCGTCTGGATTTTGCCCACCCAAATTTAAAAGCTTCCCAAATCCACATGCAGAGGTGTAAATGCAAAAATTTGGTATCATTGAGTTTTCATAAAACACCATTGAAAGTGTTTAAAATATCTGTATATGTTGTCTGTGTTATAATAAACACCTAAATAAAGATGCGCTTTTTGTATTTTATTTTTATAAACTCATATTTGAAAGTGTACCTTTTAGGTTGTGTGTGGTCTAGCGTGCTGTAATTAATGTTGGTGGTTCCTGCACATGTCTGTAATCATAGGAAATAAGAAAAATGTCTCTATCATAATCTATGCAAAAGTTACTGTATTCCAACTGATGAGAGGTGCTGTACGAGCCACAGGGAGCGATCATTGTTTTCATAATTCACTATTCTTTTGATTGATCAAACATAATTCACTGTGTTTGGACCACATCAGACATATAAAAGGATTACTTATGCACATCACCTCAAAAACAGAGGAGA